TAGACCTGTGACTGCAGTGCCATTTTCCAAAAAAATTTAGGAAAATAAAAAAAAGTCTCTTAGACTTTTTCTTCCAAACAAATCAATTTGAACTTGAACAATTTCAACTTGAAAAAAAAAAAGATTAAATGATTTGATCAGTTTTTGCCCAGCCGGATATAAACTACTACTTAAACTACTACTAAATCAGGACTAAACTCGCTTCAAAGCAGACCAGACCAGGACCAAACCAGGACCAGACCAGGACCAAACCAGGACCACACCAGGACCAGACCAGGACCAAACCAGGACCACACCAGGACCAAAGGACCAAACCAGGACCACACCAGGACCAGACCAGGACCAAACCAGGACCACACCAGGACCACACCAGGACCAGACCAGGACTAAACCAGGACCACACCAGGACCAGACCAGGACCAAACCAGGACCAGACCAGGACCAAACCAGGACCACACCAGGACCAGACCAGGACTAAACCAGGACCACACCAGGACCAGACCAGGACCAGACCAGGACCAAACCAGGACCACACCAGGACCAGACCAGGACCAAACCAGGACAAGTATAATACAGCCTCAAGAAAAACATATTAGAACAAACTGCACAATTAGGAATACTGAAAATTAGTATTCTGATTATTCATTTTCAGTACTTGTACTTATTTACTTCCCAACCCTGTACTAACCAAGTAAACTTCAAGATGTCCGCCTTTTCCTTTTAAGTAGATCAGACTGCACATCCGATAGTGTTTGTAGACTTTGCTTTCCCTGTCTCTGGAGCCTCCCTGACCCTTGCCTTGTCCACATTAGTCCACCGGGGGCAGTGTGTCATCCTGCATTACCCCCCCTCCTCTCTCCGGTGGGGCCACAGTGTACAGACGGGGTCAAGGGCGAGTGGTCCTGCGGGAGCGCTTCATGTAGGGCAGCGGACTGGAGAGCGGAGGATGCGGCGACGCTAACCCAGCTAAGTGACAATAAGCTAAGTGTGCATTTAGGGCGGGGGGGAGGAGAGAGCGGGGCAGGGCCGGAGCAAGAGATTAGCAAAATGGGGCATAATCCACAAAAGGGGGCCTCTTCCTTTCCATGTTGACTTCTTGTTTTTCTTTATCAAGTTTCAAGACTAGTTTTAGTATCGATTATGATCCGATCCACACTTAAAACTCCGCCACTGCAGCCAGATAATCGGGACAGTCTTTTGTGATGTCACCAACTACTTGAAAATGCAAAGTCCACTGAAGGCGGCACACACTTAAAAGTAGGCGTTTTTGACCAGGAAGCGGCAAATTGACCTAGTTTGTACTAAAACCGTCAGAAAAAAACAGTAGATGATGCTGTTAACACCATATGAACAGTTAAGTAGTGCAAAAAGGTGGATGTACTGTTTGGTTCCACTTAAAAAAAATCCACGTATTCACTAGGGGTGTAACGGTACATGTATTCGTGGCAAAGCATTTCGGTACAGGACGTTCAGTTCGGTGCGCAGCTGTGTACAAGAGAATTTGCTCAGTTTGTTTGTGTTTATATTCCGCCACTACACGCACCGCTATATTCACCAGGGAACTCGTCCGTGATTGGTGCGGCAGTGTTTCCCGCAGCGTTTTATAGTTACAATTGCCCCACAGTTTGACTACGTCCCTCCGAACCACGTGAATCCTCGCAAAACTACAATCGTCGCGTCCCGGTCCTCACTCTTAACAGATCTGCACTTACTCCAGACAATGTGGACAAGTTGGGTTTTTTTGGCCAGAAATCTGAAGATTGAGTAAAACTTCATGCTGGAACTGTCAGTGCTGCACTTCACGTTTTAAAAAAAGTTTTGTTACTGTTTAAAAGGAATTTATTTTTTTATAGTATTTCATACATTTGTTGCTTATTTGAGAATATTTTATTTAATTTGTCAGTATTACCAAGCAGCACTTTCCATTTATTTTATTTTCCCATTTAAACCAATTGTTGAATTAATAAACAAGTAAATGGTTTTGCATTTTGTTCCCATACTGTACCAAAAATGAACCGAACCATGACCTCAAAACTGAGGTACGTACCGAACCGTGATTTTTGTGTACCGTTACACCCCTAATATTCACTGATACTAGTCACACCAATATTCAGATCTAATTATTGGATGAAACTAGTTATGACGACTAATTCTACTGGTCATGTATTTGTACAACTCAAAACTACTATAACAAAAGAGAGATAGAAACATTAAACTTTCATTGTATGCTAACAGCAATTGGTAACTTTAGGATCACTTCCCTATCTGATGAGAAACATAAACAGGCAATCCATCAAATCCAGAGTGTTCAGAAGAGCGCAACTTCAACCACACGTCTGCAGCTACTTCAAACTACTTTACTAGTCAACACATGGATTCAAGTGTATCAAACTGACTGACAAGGACATCTGGACAATAACTGCACCCATCACAAAGAGCATATCAACGAAACTCCTGTAAACCCTGCGGAAACACAAGCTCATGCTGTTCCATCCGTTAAACCGGCTGTAGCGTGTCCTAGCGCTTGGCCCAAGGGCTAATAACGCCCCCGAGGAATCCCACCGGCAACCATCGCTCACGTGGACTCGAACTGGGACAAGACGGGAGCTGCTATAGACTCTTTAAAATGTCATCAGAATGTTCCAAATTTTAAAATGGAGGCGACTGGAGGCAAAATGAAATGCACCATAATGGATTTTAGATTAGCTGACATTACACAGCAGAAACTGGAGGGTTAAAAAAGTTGTTTTACCACAAAAAGTGTTATTTTAAGTATTTGAAAGTTAAATGGGTGTTCGATTTGGGGTTATTTGCCAGAGTTTATATGGTTGCCCCTAGTTTGGCCCTTTCCCCTAGTGTTAATTCAACTTCCCTTAGTGTTAATTTGGAACCTCCCACCCTCCACTTCAAACTCCCGTGAGAGAAGACCAGTTTGAACCAGTTTTGTACATAATTTCATCTTAAATTAACTAAAATAAAGAGTAAAACTAAAATGCCTCTGTGTGTTGTTTAACTAAATCAGAATAACCCTACAAAGTGTTATCCATTTACTCTAAAAACATTAATATAACTCTTGGTTTCAGGGTTAAACACAAACTTTGGTCCAATGTTACTTAATTAAAGCTTCCAAAAAATGTTAAATTAACTCTAGAACAGATTGGACTCAGTAAACTGTTAAAATTGATTCTGAGAGTCAGTTTTAACAATACACTTTTTGCTGTGTAGATCAAACTGCTATTAATATGAAGTTTTTATAATAATTTATATGTATATTCTTTGTACCAAGAGTTTATGTGTACATGCCCCTTCTGCTCATAATTGTAAACTCTAAATGCTGATGGTCTCTTTTGTCTGGGTCTCTGGGGCCGCTCACGAAGATTGAACATGGAGCATCCTGATATTATTAAACTTCTATCTGGCTTTGGATTCAACTCTCCTCAACCATAATCTCCCAATAACTTTAGTTTTAGTCCATCCATCCATTTTCTCGCAGGGGCAGCAATCTAAGAAACGACTCCTAGACTTCCTTCACGTCGAACACTTTCTCTAGCCCTATGGTGGGACCCCAAGACATTCCAAGGCCAGCCGAGAGACATAGTCCCTCCAACGTGTCCTGGGTCTTCCCTGGGGCCTCCTCCTGATGGAACATGCCCGAACACCTCCCGAGGAAAGCGTCCATGAGCCATCCATATGAGATGCCCGAGCCACCTCTGCTGGCTCCTGTCAACGTGGAGGAGCAGCAGATCTACGCTGAGCTCCTCCTGTGTGATTAGTTTTAGTGGCTGTTAAAATACATATATGTATGGGTGTATGTGTGCATGTAATCTGTATGTGTATATATATGTGTACAGTACAAAATGGGGGAAAAAAGAAAGAAAAATTTTGGGGGCTAAAATTATATTTTGTTTGCATAATATGTCATTTATTTAGCTATATGTAAATATTTGTTAAGTTCTGTGATCAATGTACAAAAGCAACCACATAAATTTTGAAACTATGTCATGAACAGGGGTGGGTTCATATACGTTTTTCTTCTTCCCACTCCTTTTCGAGAAATGTGCTTTTCTGTTGTTTACAATGTATATGTAGTATATATGATTATTGTTTCTCTCTTGGCATAAACTCGAAATAAAAATGAATCAACCAATCAATCAAAATAGGTTTACACATTGGCGTCTTTTGAACGGCTTTTTTGACGTTAACAAATCCAAAAGATGCGGATCCCATAAAAAAGCCGAAACGCACCTTGTTATTTATTCATATCAGCGGAACTCAACAAAAAATACAGGGACACCAATGGGGAGGAAGTATTAAAATTGTTGTGCACAGAGCCAATTCCTGGAAATAAAGTTCAGTTATTTTTGGTTTTCTATTACAAATATGAAAAAACACCCACAATGTTCTAAACCTCAGATTAATTTAAGCTCCACAAAACACATAATTTGTGGTGAAGTACGCATAGAGTATAGAAATGAAAAACCATTGGGGACAACATTTCTGTAAATATTTGTCCAATTAAACCTAAAATTCATAATGTCTGGTTATATTCCGTGGTTAATCAAAATTTCCCACTAAATTCCATTATGTTTCACTTCACTTTTGCATCCATTTGCCTCCATTACAGAATTTAGAAAGTATTTGTCTGAAACTTTTAAAGAGTCTACGCTATTGTGTAGAATCACATTTTCAATAAGTGTAAGTACGTTTTCGTGTCGTGTTCAACAGCAGAACATAAAGAATTAAAACAAAAAAACAAAACAAAGCAAAGAAGACAGATAAAAGAGTAAATCAAGATTGACTTTTTTGGGTTTTTTGCCAAAGTGTTTTTTTTTTTTTTGGTTTTTTTTGGGCCCCTGGAAGTCACTGAAAACCGCAGTCCAAACTGACAATGCCCCTCCGCAGAATGGAGGTCACACACCATTAGCGGAGCAGCTACCGTTAGCATCCATGACGGCGTTAAGGAGAGCCATCAGAGGAAGAGCAATAAACATCAGTCTTACCTTCCACGGCGTACTCGTCCACTGAAGGAGGGAGCGTGGAGGACGAGAAAGAGAAGAGAAACAAGATTTATTAGTTACGTTTAGTACAGCGGAGAAAGGTAAGGCACATTTACTTGAAAAACACAATTCGTACACAATGTGAGTCAAAGTGCTTTACAGCAGTGGTCCCCAACCGTTTTTGACCGGTTTTAAGTCCGACAATATTTCAGGGGGCGGGGGTGGTGGGTGCTTTTTTCGGGACAATATTTTCACGGGCTGGTGGCGTACGCGAGAAGGCGCGCAGGCGAGCAGGTGTGGTCCTCGTGGCATGGTTTAGTCCTAGTTAAATCCTGTGATTGTCCTGGTTTAGTCCTGGTTTTAGACCTGGTTTAGACTTGGATTAGTCCTGGTTTAGACCTAGGTTTTAGTCCTGGTTTAGTCCTGGTTTTAGTTGGGGTTTAGAGGCGCGGGAAAAATCGGAGGAGGCATGGTCCACACGAGAAGACGTGTGTTTAGACTTGGTTTAGATCTAGTTTAGACCTGATTTTAGTCCTGGTTTTAGTTCTGATTTAGTTCTGGTTTAGTCCTGGTTTTAGTTCTGGTTTAGTTGGGGTTTAGTCCTGGTTTTAGTTTGGGTTTAGAAGCATGGGAAACATGGGAGGAGACGTACGTGAGAAAACGCATGTTTAGACTTGGTCTAGATCTAGTTTAGACTTGATTTTAGTCCTGGTTTTAGTTGTGGATTAGACCTGATTTTAATCCTGGTTTTATTCCTTGTTTAGTCCTGGTGTTATTTCGGGTTTAGTCCTGGGTTTAGTTTGGGTTTAAAGGCGTGGGAAATATGTGAGAAGCTGCAGGCCACGTGGCACACATGAGAAGACACGTGTTTAAACCTGGATTAGACCTTGTTTAGACTTGAATTTAGTCCTGGTTTAGTTCTGGTTTTAGTTCTAGTTTAGTCCTGGTTTTAATTCTGGCTTAGTCCTGGTTTTAGTTCGGGTTTAGAGGCATGAGAAACATAGAAGGAGGAACAATCCACACGGCATACACGAGAAGACGCATGTTTAGACCCAGTTTAGACCTGATTTTAGTCCCGGTTTAGTCCTGGTGTTAGTTCGGGTTTAGAGGCACGGGAAACATGGGACCCACGGCCCGGTGGTTGGGGACCCCTGCCTTATAGAATAAAATAGACATTAAAATCACAATACAAACATATCAAAACATAAATATTCACCATAAAATTCATTTTAAACAAAAAGAGAGAAGAATGAAAGAGTTTCATTGTATTTTCTGATCTATGTTACAGTGTTGTTTCCTCTTCACAAACGCACCTCACAAACTAGATCTTAAACTTTTTTTGTGTGTGTGTGTGTGTGTGCTAATGTGTTGTGCGTTACCAAGGAAACTGCTGAACGTTCCGGCAAAAGAAATGCATTATAGAACACCCCCCAACATTTATTATTATTGGAATATCCAGTATCAAGTCTGTTCCTTAGTATGAAAATTGAGTTTGAAATTTAAGTATCATCACAACGCGACACCAGAGCCCTTGAGCAAGACACTTCACTCCTTATGCCATTACTTCGCACACCATACAGCTTCTCCATACCATTGTTCCATTGTTCACGTCCCCAATCTTTTCGCTCTCTATGAAAATGAAGCTACAAAAGTGGATTCGTACTCAGCGAGCGGCTCTGTGATAATCTCGTGTCTGCTTTTAAAGATACATTCAGAGTAGACGGGGAGATCAGACGCACACGCACGGCTCTTTACATCAAGGCCCGCGTGGAATGGAACGAGAGAGTATTCAACCAAGAGGCTTTTATCTACTGCGCCTGATGAGTGTATGGAAAACAGCGGTTTGTAATCAACTACAATAAAACAACTCACACGACTAAATATGTAGTAGTAGTAGTAGTAGTAGTAGTAGTAGTAGTAGTAGTAGTAACAATAGTAGCAGCAGTACTAGTAGTATCAGTGATAGCAGTAGCAGTAGTAGTAATAATGGAGGTAGTAGTAATGGCAGTAGTAGTAGTAGTAGTAGCAGTAGTAGTAGTAGTAGTAAGTAGTAGTAATAAGAGTAGAAGGTGGTAGTAGCAATGGTTGTATTAATAGCAGTAGTAGTAGTAGTTGCAGTAGTAATAGCAGCAGTAGTAGTAGTCATAGTAGTAGCAGTAGTAGTAGCAGTCATAGAAATAGCAGTAGTAGTAGTAGTGGCAGATATAATAGTAGTAATAGTAGTAGTAGTCATAATATTAGTGGTAGTACCAGCAGCAGCAACAGTAGTAGTAGTAGTAGTAGAAGTAGTAGTAATAGTAATGATAGTAGTAGTAGCAATAGAAGCAGGAGTAGTAGCAGTAGTAGTAGTACTAGTACTAGTCGTAGTAGTAGTAGTAGCAATAGTAGGAGTGGTAGCAATAGTAGTAGGAGCGACTGTAGTAGTAGTAGTAGTAAATAGTAGCAGTAGTAGTAGCAGCAGTAGTAGTAGTAGTAGTAGTAGTAGCAGCAGCAGTAGTAGTAGTAGTAGTAGTAGTAGCAGTACCAGTAGTAATAGTAGTAGTAGTAGTAGCAGCAGCAGTAGTAGTAGTGTGAAGTAGTAGAAGCAGTAGTTGTAGTTGCAGTGGTAGCAGTAGTAGTAGTAGTAGCAGTAGTAGTAGTGTGAAGTAGTAGAAGCAGTAGTTGTAGTTGCAGTGGTAGCAGTAGTAGTAGTAGTAGCAGCAGTACTAGTAGTAGTAGTACCAGTAGCATCAGTAGTAGTAGCAGTAGTAGCAGTATTAGTAGTAGCAGTAGTAATAGTAGTAGTAACAGCAGTAGTAGTAGTAGTAGTGTGAAGTAGTAGAAGCAGTAGTTGTAGTAGTAGTAGCAATAGTAGTAGCAGTAGCCGTAGAAGCAGTAGTAGCAATATTAGTAATAGTAGTAGTAGTAATAGTAGTAGTAGTAGTAGTAGTGTTAGTAGTCGTAGTTAATACGATGCAATTATATTTTCATGTAATACATAACAGAATAAATACTGTAAGAACACATTTTAGGACAAACACACACAAAATAATAAATGAAATAAACAAGTAAATGTGCATTATGTAACATTTCTACTTGTGTCCTGAAATGTTCCACAGTGTGCCATTAATCTCATCTATAATGCATTTATTCAATTACAGTTTGTTTTATATATTGCCTTGAAAAAATAATCCTAAAAGTAAAATAGTGGACACCAAAATGCATTTCACAGAACAGATAAATAGAATAGAATGAAAAATAAAAGTGAAAACCACCAAATGTATTCAAAGCCACCAACGTTTCCAAACCACTCGGGGCAGCCTACATACAGCGGCTGCTTTTAACATTAACTTTTGATGAATTGTGTTGTGGAGTAATGTAAAAATATGGAACCAAGGGGAGTATGAAATAGCCAGCAGTAAAAGCAAAGGTTTTCTTAAGTAAATACTGCGATGCCTCGAACAACACGAGCATTAGGTTCCTCTAAGAATTCCCTGAAGCTACAATTACGCTACGATTGTTTTAAAAATGGTGGAATGTTCATTGAAATGTTTGGAATATTCTGTCTATTAAATATGATACATTTCAAGGACTAAAACAAGATTAAAGCAAAAGATCCAATAGCAAAATTTTAAAATATACATAATTTCAGTAGTTTTGATTGTGGTTTATTGTTTTAATCATCATTTCAAATGTATATATTAAGATATTTAAATGTGTCTTCCCCTTGGACTGTATAAAGATGTGGACTACAGGAATGTGACATCATCCAGTCAAATGAAGCTCACTGAGGCAGGCTGTTATAGGGGCAAATTTGGAGCAATATAGACCTTTTTGTGTCCCGCTTTAGGTTTGCGGAACTTCCGGGTAATGGTTTTCTGTGGCAAAATATCTGTGGATATCTGTGGAGTATTACCAAGCAGTACTTTGCATTTATTTAATTTTCCTGTTTGTATAATGTTAAAACAAATTGTTGGTTTAATAAAAACACAAATTAACAAGTACATGGTTTTGCATTTTGTCCTCATACTGTACCAAAAATGAACCGAACCGTGACCTCAAAACCGAGGAATGTACCAAACCTTGATTTTTGTGTACCGTTACACCCCTAGTAAGCAACTCTTTCCACTGTACTGTCTGCATCTGATATAAAGTGGTTTGTTTTGTTTTGTTTTATCAGAAAGTGTATCGTTAGTATGCTAGCTGTTGTTAGTTTTACCCTGAAGACAAAACTCCGCTCTTGTCTCTGAAAGTTATGAAAAGCGTTTATTAAGTCATTGCGGTGAATCATTCGGGTGAGGTAAGCGAGAAATAAATTTGGACCATTTCAAACCGCAAAAAATGAACAAGTTTTGGTTTTCACGTCAGTAAAAATCAGATCCAGCGCCCTGTGAAAATTTCTTTTTACAAATTTCTTCTTGAATTTCCTTTGCATGATGTAAGAGTCAGAAAAATACAAACTGTTGGCGTAACGTCGCACGCGAACCGTACAAAACCCGCCTCCCGTTTATCCATATTCATTAGCGACATTTTAGCGCCTCATTCTACCATTCGTGTTTCCTCTCGACCTCCACCCATTCTCCTGGAGCTACTTTGCATCAGACTATAGCAATAGCCTTGAGCGCTAAGCCGTGGGGATCCTGGCTCTTCTTCTCGCCGCTATTTGAAGATTACTTTTCAGAAGCGAGCGCATGTATGCTAAATGGGATTCCCCGCCGGAGCGAGACACCTCTGGGACGGCGACGTTTTACATAGGGAGGTTTTATTCAAAGAAATTTTAAGACCTATCGCAATATCACGTGGGGATATTACGGGCGAAAGTGGTGTTAGATGTTTTAACTCAGATGCCCCATCTGACTTTTGTGGATTTTGATGATTTGATTGACACTTAATGGGCCTGTACATTTTTTTTTTTTTTTTTTACCCTATTCCCCCCCAAGCTCTTGAGGTCAAAATAAATCTAAAAAAGTTTGTCCATGTTTCAGTCGTTTATTCGTATTTTCAAAACAAAACCAAAAATAATAAAATTAAAAAACAACTATTTT